TCTCCTCACGCGCACTGATCGAAGAAAACGCTGCAATCTTTGTAGAATTGTTGATTGATCGTCTGGGACTGTGGCAAGAACTCACAGTCGACGATGCCACCCACATCGAAGTCCTGTTACTTTTCAGACAGATCCCGTATATTATAAATGCCAAATTACAGTAGAACAGACCATTCGATCAATCAATGCCGAATGTTTCCTGATAAATAAGAGGGTAATATTACAATTAGCATTATTTGCTGCTGCCAACCAGTTTCGACGTTGCATAACTTCGGTGATCGTACTGGAACCGATGTTTCAACATGATATGGCCTTAAGCCTTTTATATCACCCCCATATCCAAGATTATAGCAGCTGTTATGCCCAAGCAGTCACCCATGTGTAGTTTATTGACTGGGCTCGATGTTGCTTAACTCTGGTGATCGAATGGTATTCCATAAACCTATCTTCATTGTTATATTGCTAGATCTTTTGGTTTAATTAACAGCACCTCAGTTTCCCTATTTAGATTTCTTTTAAATAATCGGGTCCGTGTCAAGTCATTTTTCGTATCCCGTCGTCACTCCCACGTTTTTTTTTTTTTTTAAATAACCGGAAGATAAAGATTAACCAGCGATCGTTGTGAAACTGATACAGGATATAAAAAAGGCCTCACTGACTCGGAAAAGAACATCACACTTAGGAACAGTCGACGAGATTGTTCATCTGTCGAACCTTCTGCCTTGAGCGGAGAGTAACCCCAACCAGGCTTTGCTGTAAGGCAAAGTTTCGTCCTGGGAGGTAGATAGACCATAAACCCGCTTCTGCGGGTTCTAAGAGAATATTTCTGACCAAGCCTATGGGCTCGGAAAAAACCCACGGTAAACGCGGCCTTATGCCACATACATCCCACGTGGGGGGAGTGTGAAACATTAACATGACTCCGCGGCCCAGTTCAGAGGCTGCGAAAATACTGCAGTATCTGTTCGCGGCCTCGAGCAGCTACGACCAACTTTCATAGCCACTCAACAATGTTTGTCTCCAACCCAGCGTTGGCTGTTTCTGGGTATAATTTTGACCGTTCTACCGAATGTTCGCGTTAATTAATTGACCTTGTGTCGCATCCTATCTCAGTGAGGGTTATAGAGTAAATAAAACGGCTCGGAGCGGGATTGGATTATTACCTCTGAGTTGCATCACTCTTATGGAAAACAGCTGCCCGCGGCTGGGAGCCCCCATTGAACAAGAGAACGTAGGATCTATAGTCATACCGATGCCAGCGCAACCGACGGTTACGGAATCCAGGCAATATGCGCTCAAATACACCACGTTGAACCCTACCTTGAGCCACATCTCCTCTCAGTGTTGAGACCGAGGTAAATAATATCACTCTGCGGCCTAGATGACTAGTATCTGTTCCAGCAACCAACAGCCGACCTACGGCTCCACCTATAACCATCCGCATTTCTAGCTCGCCATAAGCGTCTTGACAGAGGACAGTAAGTGCGGCACTGGGATCCGTTGATGTTTGGGATAGCCAAGAATACATTCCAAAAGCTGGGCAGTCTACTTGGAAGACAGGAGGATGTCTTTGGTAACAAAGAAAATAATGCTGAACTGTTACGTCATATCTGTCCTTCTTTACGCCAGCGAATGCTGGACGATTTCCTCAGAGATGAAGAAGAGGCTCGAGGAGACAGAGATGTGGTTCTACTGGAGGATGCTGAGGATATCATGGACCGAGCGCGTGAGCAACGATGAGATCGTAAAGAGGTTGCAAACAAGGAGGAAGCTTATACTTAATATCAAGAAGAGGCAACTGGAGTTGCTGGGACACATAATGAGGAAGAAGGGCCTGGAGAATCTGATACTCACGTTTCGAATAGAGGGAAAGAGAGACAAGTGAAAACAACGCGTGACATACCTAGCGGGGTTAAGCAAGTGGATGACAGAACATGGTCTGGAGGGAGGAAGTAGAGGCAGGAAACTTGTGAGCTGCAAGGGATAGAGAGGAGGTGGAGAGCCATGATCGCCTACACCCTGAAGGACATGGCACATAGAAAGAAATGAAAGATAGGTCGGAGTTCTAGCCATCGTCACCCGCAGCAACGACAAGCGATAAACTGTCCTTTTTCAGGACAACAAGGCTCAGCGACTATAACACTGTCTTTTTTCTTCTCACCCTATACATGAACATGAAGAGATATTTTTTTGGACCAACTGCACTAAAACCTTATTTTTGTTGATCAAAAAAAAGTAGTAATCTATCTATCTATCTATCTATCTATCTATCTATCTATCTATCTATGCAAGCGCTTTCACTATCTACCTATCTATTTATCTATGCAAGCGTTTTCACTATCTATCTATCTATCTATCTATCTATCTATCTATCTATCTATCTATCTGGGCAAGCTACGCAAATGCTTTCACTATCTATCTATCTATCTATCTATCTATCTATCTATCTATGCAAGCACTTTCACTATCTATCTATCTATCTATCTATCTATCTATCTATGTAAGCGCTTTCACTATCTACGTATCTATTTATCTAGGCAACTGCCTTCACTATCTATCTATCTATCTATCTATCCTTATATATATATATATATATATATATATATATATATATATTACTCAAGCTTTCGTTTTGTTTGTTGTTGTCTTCCTTCATTAAATATCTGTTGGCAAGCCAATATACTAACCACAACACATTGTTCTGCCACATTTACTTCCCATTTTTTTGTATTTATTGTAAAAATTTATTTCATTTCTTGTTTTCTCTTGTGTTAAATTTTCTTCAGATTTTAGAACGCAGCCATTTTGAATTATTGGGATTTCAATATTTTTACAGTTATATTGTATATTTTCTTTATCATTATATTCATCATCCATTATTAATTACTTCTTATAGTTTTATCAGGAAAAAAAACGAATTATGATTTTAGAAAGAATATAACGTTTTTTTTTTTCCTTTTCTTCATTTTGTGGCAAGAACTCTATTTTCAGACGATTTAGTAATTTCTACGATTTTCTGTTTCTTTGTTTCCTATCGTCTATCTGTTTTTTTTTTCTTCTCCCAAATTATATAAAACATGGTACAAACACCTCCAAACGAATCTGTTTTGTTCACCAGGGAATTGTCAACACCATCTTTTACAAAATCTACGTAAACCTTCGACTTCTTTAGGGACAACATCTATTTTTCCTCTTTTCGTGAGTGGGTATTTTCCGCATAAAAGAGAAGGTTACAAAAAGTGGGGTTTCAGCCTCAAAATAACATCTTATACAGGGTGTGCAAAAGTAGATATACAGTAATAAAAAACAAAACTTGCACAAAACGTATTGTATTGATTAGGCAAACATATGAAAAACAACACGTGCGAACATAGCTTATTTTATTGATTACATATCAATAATAAACATATCAAGAATAACCAAATCAATAACAAACATATGAATCTTTCAAATATTCAAACTGGCTTACCTTGACATTCATACACATCTCTTTACCCGCAAAACATGTATTATTATTATTATTATTATTATTATTATTATTATTATTATTTTATTTTCTTTGATTTCTTGCGTTTACACATTTCTTTCCGGGTCCCGCCCAGGGACCTAAGGATAGAAATGGCATCATGACACTTTCCACTTAAAAAAAAAAAAAAAAAAAAAAATTACATAGATAAAGCCCTTCGTAAAGTGTAGGCTGTACTTGTCAGAACAATTATTTGTATCTCCTTGAGGCATGGACTTCCAGGAATCCCTTCAATTAGTCAACTGCAATCTTTTCCAACCAGTCCTAGGGCTCCAACTACAACAGGGATTGTTGATGTTCCCATATGCCACATTTTCGAGATTTCTATTTCAATGTCCTTGTATTTTGACAACTTTTTGAATATCTTCAAAGATACATTGCAGTCAGCAGGGACTGCTATATCAACAAGCAGGCACCGTTTTTGTTTGTGTTCTTTAATAACAATATCTGGGCGGTTGGCATTGATTGTTCTGTCAGTGGGTATTGTGTAATCCCATAGAATTGTAACAGGTCCTATCTCCGTAACCGGGTCTGGGTGGTGTTCATACCAGTTTCTTTCAGTTTCCTGCCCGTAGAAGTTGCAGATTTTCCAGTGCAGATATTGGCCCACTCTGTCATGTCGGGTTTTATATTCAGTGGGTGCCAACATCGTGCAACCTGATACAAGATAATCAATCGTTTCTGGATATTTATCACAGAATCTGCATTTTGGGCTGACACAATATTTTAGTATATGTGCTTGATAATTCCTAGTTAGCAAGCATTGGTCCTGCGCAGCAAGTATAAAACTTTCAGTTTCCGCTTTCAACCCTGCACTACGTAGCCACAGATGGGTACGGGTTTTGTCTACATCAGCTTGTTTGGTACGTGCAGAGTATTGGCCATGAAGCGGTTTATCTTGCCATCGCTTCTGTAGCTGGTCTGTTGCATTCGTCTTTGCTGTTTTTTTTTAGGTATTTTGCAGTTTCAGCCGGTGTATTGTGCTGTAGTTGCATCTCTACTCCCATTTGAAACTCCATTTTGAATATGTTGGCTTCTTTCATTACGGAGTAATGACGCTTACTACTTTCTTGTTCCTTGACGCATACCATCATCCAGTCTTCTGTAGTTTCCAAATATCTTTGGAGGCCAATTGTTGTAGTTTTGTAGGACAGTTCTAGTTGAACTAATCCTCTGCCTCCTTCGGATCTGTTAACATACAGACGATCAACATCAGCTTTGGGATGATGCATGCGATAGCAAGTGAGAGGCTTTCTCGTTTTGGCATCCATTCGCTTAATTTCAGCTATGGTCCAGTTAAGGACATTAAAGCTGTATTGCACCACAGGGACAGCCAATGTGTTTATAGCTGATATTCTGTTTATTGAGTTTAGTTCAGTATTTAGTACCAGACGTACACGTCTGTAGTATTCTTTTCTTATTTTTTCCTTCATTTGGGGGTGTTGTATGCCACCCCCTTCGCTAATTCCTAGTGACTTATAAGCTTCATCATGCTCCAATTCCCTAATCTTTGTGACAAAATCTAAATCTATTAAGGGTGTTTCTGTAATTCTACCTTTCTTGAATGTTACTTTTTGCTTATTATTATTATTATTATTATTATTATTATTTCCTTTGATTTCTGGTGTGTACACATATAGTCCCGGGTCCCGTCCAGGGACCTAAGGTTAGAAATGGCATCATGGCATTTTCCACTGACACAAAAAGAATAAAAAATTACATACTTTTAGCCCTTCGTAAGGTGTGGCCTGTACTTGTGAGAACATTTTTTTGTATTACTTTAAGGCATGTATTCCCAGGAATTCCTTCAATTAGTCAACTGGAATCTTTTCCAACCAGTCCTAGGGCTCCAACTACAACAGGGATTGTTGATGTTCCCATATGCCACATTTTCAAGATTTCTATTTCAAGGTCCTTGTATTGTGACAGCTTTTTGAATATCTTCAAAGATACATTGCAGTCAGCAGGGACTGCCATATCAATAAGGAGTCACTTTTTTGTTTGTGTTCTTTAATAACAATATCTGGGCAGTTGGCTTTGATTGTTCCGGCTGTGTGTATTGTGTAGTCCCATAGAATTTTAACAGGTCTTATTTCCATAAGCGGGTCTGGATGGTGTTCATACCAATTTCTTTCAGTTTCCTTTCTGTTTCTTTCAGTTTCCTATTATTATTATTATAATTATTATTATTATTATTATTATTATTAAAAATATAAATTATAATAGTTTAAAATAAATGTGATACAATAAAAATTATGAAAAATATATCTGTATCTCTGAGATGAGGTATTATGATTATTCATAAACGGTGTTCCAATAACTTGGAGCGATTTTAAATGTGAATTAAGTTTAGGCGTTTAGATTTTCGAAACGAACTCTTTATTTCAATCAACTTTTAAATTAATATATGTCTAAAATTCTGAGATGAGGTATTACTTACATAATTTACATTATTCAGACTGTTATCATCAACTTCAGTGCAATATTCACAACATTTTGGCCGTTCTGTACTCTGGCTTTCTTCAGGTGATTGGAATTTTGAACCGAACACATTATTTCAAACAACTTCTAATTTAATATACGTCTAAAACTCTGAGTTGAGGCATTGTGATTATTTACATTATTTAATTATTCTGATTGTTAACCTCATCTTTATTGCCATATTCATAACGTTTCGGCCGTTGTACGCTCGGGCATTCTTCAGCTGATTGGAATCGAACCAAAGCTTTTATTTCATCAAACCGGTGGTACATTATTCTAGTTCCCCGTGTCATGCTTCTTTCGGATGTCTCAGTTATTTCCCTTTAACTCAACTCTACAGTTTTGGGGTTCCCACTGCTGTAGCCTGGTACTGAACTCACAACTCTTTGTGTCCCCAAAACTAAAATGAACTAAGAATAAAGGAAAGAATTCCGTAGAGATGCATGATGCTCTATCCCATAAAGAGACATAAAATTAACATAATGGCTAGATAAGTAGCCGAAAGCGCTTGGAACAATTCTATGGATAATTCATATATTCTTTAACCCCTGAAAATGGAAAAATGTTAGATTGCTGGGAAAACCCTATAAAAGAATATCTAATCTTCTTTGTCGGACGATATAAAATATATATATAATTACATACATACATACACACACACACACACACACACACACACACACACACACACACACACACACACACATATATATATATATATATATATATATATATATATATATATATACACAGTCCCTGTAGTGGTTGGTCCTGCACGAAGCCTTCACCACTATAATCAAATTTCATGTGCCGGTGTCAGGCTGTCGGTTTCCTGGAAACTGATCTGCTTGACCCTCATATGTCGAATCTCGACAGGAGAGTCGATTATATATATATATATATATATATATATATATATATATATATATATATATATTTAAATAAAAACAGACCACTTTAAGGTTCGATGTAATTTATTTCACCAGCCCTTTTAAAGGACTGCGGATCATTAGACTTTACTTGCAAACAAACTTTTGTTTGGAAGTAAAGTCTGATGATCCGCAGTTCTTTTAAAAGGGCTGTGGTGAAATAATTCATTACATCGAACCTTAAAGTGATCTGCGCCGAACAGGCCTCGTTGGAGGCATCTGGAAATCTCGAAATTTATTGATGCCTTACGGAAAGTTCAGAAAGGACGTGATGCATTTCTCGAAAAGTTGATTGTTGGATATCCAACCCTACCCCCACCTCCCACTCATAATAGAATGGTTTGCTGACGGACTTTCATCTTTTTGCCTAGTCTTTTTTTTTTAATTATGTGCATTTTATATTCGTCGTTATATGCTCGAATCGTCCAATTTAAGAAAAAAAGTAGTTAGAGGCATTTTTATATTTACGAAATGACGTCGTTGGAGGCATCTGGCAATCTGGAAATTTATTGATGCCTTACGGAAAGTTCAGAAAGGATGTCACGCATTTCTAGAAAAGTTGAT